GTAAGAGAAAATCCTAACTCAGGACATTCTTCTGTCCTTTGGGAGGCTGACTGGGGAGAAGACCTCTGTAGTTAAAGGAACCCCAATACTACTGGTAAAGCTGCTTGTGGAGCTTGAGATTACACATGTTGGGGAAGATTCGGGTCTGAAAATTTAAATGATTTTCATTTCAATTCACAGTGTTGATTGCATCACTCTGCTTAGCAATACAGTTAAGTCAGTTTTAAAAAGGCAAGCTAATACATTTTGGCCCCATCTATGAAATGTATCAGGAACCATAATGGTGTGAAATGACGTTGAGAAAAATAACATTTCATTTTTATTTGCATTGAAAAAATGAAAATTACTCTCTTTTCCTTTGAGTTCAGGCTACAAAAACTTATCAAGTTTATGTTAAACATTTAGATGTTTATGTGAGGGGAACATTTATAAATCTGAATGCTACCAAACTGACAATTAATTTTATAAAATTGTCAGTCATAAGACATGCTGGGCCTAGAATAAGATGATTCATTTACTGTATAGGCAATAATGTATGTTATAAAAATCAGAACATAGTCACACAGAAAGGGGGAAAATGAATGTAGATCAATAATTTAATTTAGTTCTTATCTGGCTAAGTTCTCTATAGCGTGGTTCATAATTTTTCAATGAATAGAGCGTTAACATTTTACATGTAGTGCCTCAGTTGTGTATTGATCTTCTCTAATGCATTCTTCATTTCACAGAAGGACTAGCCTATCTCAAATCCTTAAGAAAAATACGTTGTGTCAGCCTGCAAATGTTAACCAAATATGACAACCTATTAGTGTTATTTATTCTGTTTTCAGAAGTATATTTTTACCTGGATAAATAATTTAAAATTTTTAGAAGTGAAATGGTTAGTAAATGAATGATGAGTTGGAGGGCAAGTTCATGGATTTCTCACTTAGTTAATAGATTCTTAGTCTTTCTGCATTACTTAATTGCTTATTAAAAGTGGAACTCTTGATGTACTATGTATAGTGTATATTTATTCTGTAGAAAATTATTAATTTTTAATGGAACTAAGTGGCTGCTTGGACAAGGAACTCTAGCTATTAATCATGAGGCATGTGATTGACTTTCATAATCATGAATTATTCAAGAAAGTTCAATTGTAAGGTTTGAAACAGTAGAAGAGAGTTTTTATTAGTAATCTACACTTATATATAATTGTTTGCATTAGCACATTTTAGTATAGAATTTATTTGTTCATTTAAAAATACTTAATATGTGCTATGTGCCATGAAGTGATGATCCAGTGATGAACAAGACTATCATCCTCTGTCCTCATGAGGTTGCAGAGCAGTGAGTAACACAGAAGAGTATCAGTGCTGGGCAGGCAGGTGCAGAGTGCTGGTGAATCAGTGCTGGGCAGGCAGGTGCAGAGTGCTGGTGCATCAGTGCTGGGAGGCAGGTGCAGAGTGCTGGGCAGGCAGGTGCAGAGAGCTGGTGCATCAGTGCTGGGCAGGCAGGTGCAGAGTGCTGGTGCATCAGTGCTGGGAGAGCAGGTGCAGAGTGCTGGTGCATCAGTGCTGGGAGGGCAGGTGCAGAGTGCTGGTGCATCAGTGCTGGGAGGGCAGGTGCAGAGTGCTGGTGCATCAGTGCTGGGAGGGCAGGTGCAGAGTGCTGGTGCATCAGTGCTGGGATGCAGGTGCAGAGTGCTGGTGCATCAGTGCTGGGAGGCAGGTGCAGAGTGCTGGTGCATCAGTGCTGGGAAGACAAGAACATCAGTGCTAGTGAGCAGTTTAGGAGATTCAGTTTTGCTTGACTGTCCTATACATAGAAACTTATTTTTTTCTGCATAAATTTTCTAAGTCTCTTGGAAATTCTCCCTGGCAAGTTCTAATTGCCATCTGAGAAAATAGTTTGTTTAGCATGACAGAGTCACAGGTTCTTAGAGCTGAGGAAGACTTGAGAGGTCACCCAGGGCTGCACTCTTGTGTGCCCTGATGTCAGCCTGGGCACATCTAAGGCTTTAGGGAAGTGTGCTTGTTCAAGGGGTCATGTCTGAGGTGTGTAGTTTGTTTGAAAGTTCTTCCAGATAGTGAACTGAAGCTTATTCCTGCATATTCTCTTTCTTGGAACCTGTTTTGTCCTGTACGAAGTCATAAAATCCCATTTACCCATTATTTGAAGCCCTTATCTCAATGTTCCAGTTAGTTGTGTGATCTTTTATTTTGACTCCGTTGTTCCTGTGAGGTGTATGTGTCCCGCCCTCAGATTGGTGACTGCTTTGGCTCACCGTTCATTTCCTCAGATCGACCACAGCACTAGTGAACCAACGAATGAATGTTCTGTCTTGTTCCAAAAGACTTTAGGGAACACAGTACATGGATGAAAACCTTACCTGGTATTCCATTAACTATTTGACAAAGCTGTCATGGTTCTCTCCCTACTCCATTTTTTCTCATCCTCAGGTTAAGATGCTCACTTCTTTTAACTTTTTTGTTGTTTCTTTTTATAAATGACAAGGTGTCTAGCCCCTCACATCAAAGTCATCTCCGACCCCACCCCCCGCCAATGCACCTCACTTGGTTTATATAAACAGTGCTGATCTTACCAGGTGGTTTTGGCAAACTTCACAGAAGAGGTGCACCCTGGCCCGGCACCAGGTCTGAGAGAATGAGAAGGTGCTCTCTGTGTCAGGGAGGGAAGGGTGCTGTCACAGGTGCACCCAGAGCATGGTCTCAGAATGTCCACCTGCCTCTCAGGCTCTTTACCAGGCGTCTAA